CAGCGGGGCCGCCCCGCCCCCGTGGGGAAAGGAGAGGCGGGAGCTGTCAGCCCCGCTGAGAAAGCCAGCCTTGCCTCCCGATCGCCGTGGCCAGGGCGCGGCGGGACCTCACCGCTCTGCCGGCAGCGGGGCGAGGGCTTCACCGCCCAGGGGTATCCCTTCGTCGGGCACCAGACAGGCACGCAGACGTCCGCATCCATTTGGCGCGGCCCCCGGACCGAGGACCGAGCTGCGCCCGGCTCCCAGGGAGCCCCGGGTTGTGCAGCAGCGGCACCCCCAGGCCCCGCTCCGGCGCCGCGCTGGGGCCGCGGGGCACCAATCCGCAGCTCGCCGGTCTTCACAGGGGCTGTGCAAAGCAGGCGCCGAGTCCTGTGGAATATAATCCCGCCTGGAAATGAAGTTTCTGCTGTCTGGAAAACGCAGGGCTGCTCTCCCGGGCGACACCTCAGGGCCCGCGCAGTCCTGAAGCCAACAACATTCAATACAAATTTTGCCTCCTGCGTAATGGTGGGTGGGCCTGCTGATAAGATGAAGCCCTCACTTAAAGACAAAATGCACGCAGAGATTTGCTTAATAAGGAAGAGACTTTTCCTTTAGCTGGCACAGCAGTGACATGGAAATGTTCAGTTCGAACTGGAGGTGGACACAGTGAAGGTTAGCATTTGGAGCCAAGCTTGGCAGTCAGGGAATTCGGAGTCCATCCTCATCACTGCCATTGCCTACAACAGTGGTTTTCAACCTTTTTTCACTTGAGGGCCCCCCAAAAATTTTGAATGGAGGTGCGGACTCCTTTGAATTGTAAGGGTGGGTATTCACATATTTGTGATTGATCAAAGTCATTTTTCACAGACTCCTTAGACATAGTCTGCAGACCCTCAGGGTCCATGGACCACAGGTTGAAAACCACTGGACTATAGGCATAATTCAAAATCTACTGCTGTCACAGGGGGTCTTAATATGGGCTCAGGCAGCTCAGGATCAGGCCTTGTGTGAACATGGGTGAGCTATTTAGTCCCTAACTCTGTGTTGTTGTTGCTATTACAAAGCTATCGATTAGAATATATTTTAATGCTTAACTTTTCAAATCATTATCATCTCTATATTTATCTATCTTCCTCTATTTGTGTGTATATGTAAATAAAACACACGGTAAGACATAACAGAGCCAATTTTACTTTGTCCTGCAGATTTACAGAAGTGTAGCTCTATATACCTGGTTCACTGACCTGATTTTTGCTTTTATAGCAAAGGAAGATGCATGACTTTTTACTTTCCTAAAAACCTTTGAAATGTACAAATAAATATTACAAAGGACTCCAATATCCTTTATTGAAAGGTACTATATGAATCAATGTATTATTATTTCTTCTTGTGGCTTTATAATATAATGATAGACGATGAAATATTGCGAGATTTGTCAGTTGGACTGAATTTTTTAAAATCTGTACATTTTTCCATATTCCTATATTTGCTTTTGCAGTATGGATTTATAAATACATGCTTGAAGTCTCTAGTGGTTGAAAAATATGGTGAAGAAACCTGGGAAAACTTAAGGTAACTCATTCCTACAAAATTGAATAAATTAAGTGTAAAGGAGTTTAGTAGCGTGCATAGGATAACAGTTTCTCATTGTGATGTAAAACCTAAGCAATTATTAAAAATAACTGCTAAGGCAAAGACAAGATTTTTACACTGTAGTACTTTCATCATATCACTTTAATCTGTCCTGATTACTTTATATATTATGCCAAATAATTAGGGGTGAAATTTTGTCCAATGAGCATTTGTGCAATAGTCACGCTTGGTTATTGTACTATTACTGAAAAGTAATTATGCTGAATAGATGCTGCCCTTATTTTGAAGTCAATTTCACTTGAGAACCTTAGGCGAAAGCAATTAAATGTAATTGAAGACAACATATTCTCTCCGTTTCACATTTTTGTTTTAAAGGTTTTATCCAATTTGCATGAAAATAAAGATATAGCAATAAAGAAAATTAGTTACCAAGGTATATAGGCCATGATGTAAAACCCATTGAACTAACAGAAAGTCTGGTCAAGCCTATGGTGACCCAAGAGTTTAACAGTATAAACCATAATCTACAACAAACCAATGGAAGAGAAGAAATAGATATCTCTTGTCAGCACAGAATCTAATGAAATGGGACCTTAGTTCTTGATTGCAGTACAGAAGTCCTACCATGAAATAAAATAATAAATACACATGGACTTATTCACCCAGGTACTTAAATATACTTTAAAGCTTTACTGTCTTCAAAGGGATTACTCACATAAGTAAAAACTGCAGGACTGAGGCCTGTTTGGCTGTTCTGTCCCTAGCAGGCACTGCCTTATCCAATTTAAATTACTAAAGAAAGGCCATGCTCAGATGTCATAGTGCTGACTGATTAAGAAATGTAGCAATGGGAATGGAGCCTGAGTAAGGCAAACAAGCTGGGCTCCTTAATTCTGTTCTGTTTGGGGCAATCTTGAGACAGAATATCACCTTTGTTGCAGGATCCAAGCAGGAGTTCAGGATTCATTTTTGACTTTTGAAGTTTACCAAGATGAGATCACAATGCTGCTAATTGATAAAGCCTGCAAAATGTTAGGTATGCTTCACATCACATTAAATATTTCCAGCCCAGGCCTACATCTCTGGGCAACAGTCCAGGTCATAGCCCACTCCCTCAATCTTAAAATTCCCTGCTTGTATCAAAAAACCTTTGCATTTATCATTATGAATCCATTTCAGAGCATTGCTATAACTCCCCAATCTATTTTTTTGCATGAACATATCTTTGTTTTTCCAGGTGTTCCCTCTGATATGGTCCTGAAGCAGTTTGGAGAGTATTTCTTTGAGTTTTGCAAACGATCAGGCTATGACCATATGTTAAGAACTTTGGGTGGAAATCTCTACGAGTTCATAGAAAACCTGGATTCATTGCACAGCTACTTATCTCTTTCTTATCAGGCAAGTTTAAGTAATAACTAGTGAGCAGTCATAGATGAAAACTTCTAGGGCATAAACACACAAGAGAGTATCTTACCACCTGAATGAAACACGTTTATAAACCGGCCCTTTTGTGCATTGAAATTACTTATTCTGATGCCTTAGGGAAAAAATCAGATCTTCAAAGGTACCTTTAATATTAGATATAAAGCTACTTAGTACTTTGGGTCAAAGTATAGTAGATTTTTCTAGAGCAATAAGGATTTTTTTCTGATAAATCTCAAATGAAACTAGAAAATCACTACCATCAAGTGCTGCTTTTTATTTTGCCAATATGCTTTTATACAGCTTATTATTGTGCTAGAAAAAGTATTTAACATTTTCCTGTTCTTTCTCCTGCTCCAGGAAATGAATGCACCTTCTTTTAGAGTAGAAAATAATGAAGATGGGTCAATGCATTTACATTACTACTCAGATAGAAGAGGTCTGTGCCATATTGTTCCAGGTAAAGATGCGTACTATAGCTTAGGTAAAAATGCATACATGGACTGTTTCATGCAGGTCCTGACGATCTCAGCAGGTCCTGATGATCTCCACCCCAGAGTGCTGAGGGAATAGCTGAGGTCATTGCGGGACCCCTGGCACAGCTTTATGAGCACTCGTGGTGCTCTGGTGTGGTGCCAGAGGACTGGAAGAGGGCCAATGTGGTTCCCATCTTCAAAAAAGGGAGGAAGGATGACCCAGGAAACTATAGGCCAGTTAGTCTTACCTCAATCCTGGG